TCTCCCTCCCTCCCTACATCTCTCACTGTCTCTCTCTCTCTGTCTCTCTCTCATCTTTCTCTCATCTCCCTCCCTCCCTACATCTCTCACTGTCTCTCTCTCTCTGTCTCTCTCTCATCTTTCTCTCATCTCCCTCCCTCCCTACATCTCTCACTGTCTCTCCCTCTCTGTCTCTCTCTCATCTTTCTCTCATCTCCCTCCCTCCCTACATCTCTCACTGTCTCTCTCTCTCTGTCTCTCTCTCATCTTTCTCTCATCTCCCTCCCTCCCTACATCTCTCACTGTCTCTCTCTCTCTGTCTCTCTCTCATCTTTCTCTCATCTCCCTCCCTCCCTACATCTCTCACTGTCTCTCTCTCTCTGTCTCTCTCTCATCTTTCTCTCATCTCCCTCCCTCCCTACATCTCTCACTGTCTCTCTCTCTCTGTCTCTCTCTCCTCTTTCTCTCATCTCCCTCCCTCTCTATCTCTCTCACTTTATCATCTATCTTCTCCCTCCTTTCCTACATCTCTCTCTCATCTCTCATCTCCCTCCCTCCATCTCTCTCTATCATCTATCCTCCCTCTCTCCCTCCCTCCATCTCTGTCTCTCTGTCCCTCTGTCTCTCCTATCTATTATCTATCATCTCCCTCCCTCCCTACATCTCTCTCTCTCTCTCTCATCTGTCATCTATCAATATCGATATCTATTTCTCTCTCTCGCCCTCCTTTCCTGCCCCCCTCTGTCTCTCATCTAATGTATGTATATGGATCTAATGTTTCTAGGAAACTGCTTGTTAGGCAGTTAGCCTAACATCAGCTAGCAGTGATGTGGGGCAGGGGGTGCCTCCTTCCTCCCAGCTTCTTTTGAGCCTTGGAGATGGTTGAGGGTCACCAAGCCTGTCCTTTTTTGTCTTCCCCTCCCTCACCTTTAGGGTGACTGGGTGTGGCTGAAGAGATTTCCCGGACAAAGGAACCTCGAAGTCAAACCAAGCACCGAAAAAGTGTTTTGCCAGGTGAGTTCTGAAGAGCTTCCCTTCGAAAGGGGGTGGAAGCACTACGGAGGACGAGAGCTGGAAGGGACCTTGGAGGTCTTCTAGTCCAGCCCCCTGCTCAAGCATGTGTCAAAGTGGCTTCTTGAGCCGATCCGCTTACAGGTCATTCTCGAGTTACAGAACTTCATTTAGCGACAGCACCGAAAAAGTGACTTGTGACCATTTCCCGCACTTACGACCATTGCAGCATCCCCGGGGTCACGTAATCAAAACTCAGATGCTGGCCAACGGGCTCTTACCTACGACGGTTGCCGTATCCCCTTTTTGCGACTTTCTGACGAGCGAAATCGATGGCGGTTTCACTTAAGAGCTTCACTACTCACTTAACAATGGCCGAGACGCACTTAACAAGAGAGGTCTTCAGATGGGTCAGAAAAATCACTTAACGACGGTCTTGCTTAGCACCGGAAAGGTTGGGCTCGGTTGCGGTCGTAAGTTGAGGACGACCTGTATTTTCACCCTGCTCTGGCGCGTCGGCTAAGACATTTCAGCCAGGAAGTAGCGGCTCCTTCCAGGGCAGGTGTAAATTCCAGTTAAGCGGGTTTATTGCTCGTGTTGATACACAAGGACGTAATCAGCTAACAGTCAAGACTAATTTGGCCCCAGATAAGAGTTTGTAGAAGTCAAGACAGCTTGAACCGCTTATGGGAATGCAATGATTCTAGGCTAATTACCCTCTGGACTCCACCTACAGCAGGGATGTTTATCATTTTGCCATCGTGTGCCAAAAGTGAGGGGGGGGGAGGGCGGGAGCATCATGCATGTGCACACCCACCTCCATAATTCTATGACCCTCCCCCCATGCTTGTGTGACCCCACCCCTACACAACTCCCGCTTTTGGCACGTGATGGCACGGCGGACCCGTTTTTTGTCCACCCTGCGCTCCAGACCAGTGGTGGGTTACGGCAGGGATGTCCTGATACGGGTGTATCGGTGCCTGCTGGGAGCATTTGGTACCATTCCGGTATGATGCTCCGGAGGGCCCACCTGCCCGCCCATGCTCCTTACCGATATTTGAGTTCTTTGGTGCTTCCACACATGCACACGGAGCGTATGGGGCCTGTGCGACGCTCCACCGAGCAGCTGGAGCATCGCGGAGGCATTGCGGAGCGTTGCAGGTGGTAAGGACACATGCGAGGACTCCGCGCATGTGCGCGCATTCATGTGGTGGACGCCCGGCCTCGTTGCACTGTACCAGTTGTGCTGGGATCCGGAACCCACCGCTGCTCCCTTTCTAGGAGCCTGGGGAGGGCAGAAAAGGCCTTCCCTACCCCCTCGGAGGCTGAAAACAGCCCATTTGCTAACTCTTGGTCGGACCAGAAGGTCCGTTTTTTGCTCTTCCCAGGCTCCAGAGCCTTTCTAGGAACCCGGGAAGGTGAAAACAGCTTCCCCCTGCCCCAGAGGTCCTCCAGAAGCCGAAAACAGCCTGTTTCTTGACTACTGGTCGGCCCAGAAGGCCCGAAAATCAGCTGGCTTGTGCACACATGTGCTCCGGAGCTGAGCTCGTGTGCCATAGTTTCACCATCACGGATCTACAGGATTTAGCAATAGCAATAGCAGTTAGACTTATATACCGCTTCATAGGGCTTTCAGCCCCCTCTAAGCGGTTTACAGAGTCAGCATATCGCCCCCCAACA